TGAATTGTCTGTGAAAATTGAGGTACCTTCTGAATTTTCAATAGAAAGTTTTGCTGAAAGAGTGCTACTTTATTGTTTCCTCCGTATTGATCGCCCATGGATATTAGTAAAATTTAGTGGATTTCTGAGAATAAAAAGTAATTATAACCCTTTTTAAACTTTACAGATAAAAATACAGACCAATTAATTTATTGTACTGCCGTCATAATCAATTTTTTTTTGAAGAAAAAAACCATTATAATGAAAAATAATCAATAATTTCCAACAAGATCGACTATTTTTGTCATGTTTTTCTTTTTGTAATTGATCATCTTTGAACTCAAGCACCATTGTAATTCAATATAATATATTATAATCCATTTTCTTTCCAGAACTAATTTCAATTATTTTGCATAAAATTTGAAAATTTACTTAAAGTTTTATGCCACAACTTTTTCAAGTATTACAGTCAAAAATATGTATCCATCAACTAATTTGGATTGTTGGCGCTTTCTCGGCCTCGCTGGCCACATTTGACACATTTGTCGCTGTGCTACCGCATACATGGCGTCGCTCGCACGTTACTGTCTCTCGATCTCTTGGATATCGTCTTTTAATTTCACTTGTAACTAGGACCCGCGGTGATCTCCATCGGTACGGTGACCTCTGGGGCCATTATGTTCTTTCGGGCTAGTCATCGTTTCGCTAGAATTGGTAGATTGTCATCGGATTCCGGATCGTCTCCTTGTTCAAACCGTCTGTCTTTTCGCGGAATGCCGCTCTTTCTCGTCGCCGATGTTGGTTTCGGCCACGATTGTATCAGCGCCGTAATTTTCAGTGAAAACTCCTGTGGTGTAAGCGAAGCTGTGACGGCTTTGGGGATCTCGTATTTGGGGTAGCTATCTTTCGTGATGCAACTCCTTACTTCCAAACGCGCAAAATTTACTCATTTTAATCTTATGCGCGCTCTGTGCGGCGAGTTTTATGTTTTGTAATTTATACCTGTTAAAGTTTTTGTTTCCACGTACGCTGAAAGCTGATTGTTGACGACTCAGTATTGGCCAATGGGCCCACTTTGACCGTGATCGGTGGCTCAGCTTTTTGATTTCTGATCTGCTCTTCAGCCTGACGGATTGGGTGATCCCTATGCTTGATGTCTTGTTCGGTATCTATTTTTAGCGGATTATGTTGGACCAGTTTAGATCGCAGAACTATAATTTTTTAATCAGGTTCCTTAAACCCTGTGCGGGCCTCTCTGTCGTGGTCTGCCTCGAGTGGCGTGATTTTGAGAGTGGCGTTATTTGAAAACCCTAGGGCACCAGGGGCTCTTCCGAGCATTTTATACAAATTTTTTCCCATGTATGTGTTAAAACAGAATGTTGGCGGCCAGCTATCGTTCGTTCCTCGCAGCACTCTATGGCTCGATGGTCGCTCACCGGTGATTGAATCGTTTCTCTTCCTTCCCCATTGCAAAAAGTTCAATCTCCATCGACAAAACTTTGTTCCTTGATCTAAATGTGTATGTCTGGTTACGCCATGTGTGTTTTTGTACGTTTTCAAAAACCTAACTAATAGGTCCGACCAATTTCAGCTTTAAGCCATCGCTGACGGCCATTGTAAGAAACGATCAACATCTACAATTTCATCCTTTTTGAAACCTTTCGACAACAAACATTCAACTGAACCGATTCATTTGGTTAATTTGCTTCGGGTAACTCTACCAAATCTTCATCAGTGAGCAAAACTTTCAAAGTGAACGTTAAGATCTTTACATGTCAGCAATTTGATAATTCCAAGTAGTTGAGGGTTTGTCGGTTATTGAACCTGTAAAAATTGAAAACTCAAAAGTGACGGGAGGACTTTTTTGATGAGAGTTGTACAGTTACGCGGAACATTTGTCAAAATGCAAATTTTGGGGTCTTCCGGCGGATAAAACACACATCGAAACGCCGACAAAATATATACTATACTATTACTCCGTGTATTCTTAACATCGCTCGCAACCGCCAATAAGCCAGTTTTAACTTTTAATTTCTTTGATATCTTCTCGCTACTAAGAATGGGATGCACTGCAGCTTTGTTTCTCTTCATTGATTTTTTTTCAATAAATTGATGCCTACTAGTCTCGAAATTAGTAATTGCTCCAAATAATTTCGAGATTTCGATAGTTGACTTTCGATTTATCCAAATTGCTGGTCTCTGATTGGTTAATTTACTGGAGCAAGCTTTCTGCCCTCTTCCGGTTTAGTTTCGAACAATTGTGTACTCAATTTAGATTGGTTGGGTTTTTCCGACGCGTCTCCTTCTTCGGGTTATTACTTGATCCCTTGGATTTATATACTTTTTTACCTCCAGTTGCGTTGCAACGAATTTGTTTTTGCCATTGTAAACATGCTATCATACGTGCTGACCGGTTTCATCTGCACACCATCGCTGACGGCCATCGTGAGAAACTATCAACATCTACAATTTCCGAATTTTTGGAATCACTCGGTTGAGTAATTGGCCCACAAAAAAATGACTGAAGCGTTTCATTTGGTTCATTTGCTTAAGGTAACTCAACCAAATCTTGTTTGGTGCACACAGTTTTAAGAATTTTACCGGTCAAAGTGCATTCCCTGTAATTTTCCTCGATTGACGCGATGCTTGGCGACTCCAGCGCTAGTTTCACCAATCCGTCCTGTCCAACTACTTTTATGATCGGCGAGTCAAATTTTTTACCCGAGCATTCTTCTAGTTTTTCTGTATGCCGATGCAATAGTTTTATTGTTATCAAATTTTTCCTGCAGCGTTGTCTTCATCATACTCCCTTTGAATGTATTGACAGTTTTTTCTCGAAAAACTCTGCCTACACTATATAGTTTCTGATCCTAGGGACCTGGCGAAAACGACAATTAATTTGCTTTCTGAATTATTACTAACATAGTTCCAGTGTTGCGTTCGCCTCTGGAGTCGTCACTTATTAAGTCTCCCCGTGGATGGACATCAACTTCCCCACGGATGGTCATTCTGGTTCAACTGCAGTCCGAGGTTGGGCATCAGGTCTAGACCAATTTTTGACGGTCGAGTTTCTCCAATCACTTTGATCCTTCTTGCTAACACCCATCAAAAATGACTCCAAATGATCTTTCATCGCCCGTTTTGTGTGAAGCGGATATTTTTCGTATTCCTTGAAATTGTTGTCTTCTGGTTTTAATTCGTTCATTTTTACACCTGTGACACCCAAAGTCCATTTTATTTCTGCCTCGTTTCGGTACTGAGGTAGATCGGTTTCGGGTAGCTGACCGATTGACAACATTTCAATTCATACGTAAATTAACCGTAATTATCGGAAATTACAAGTCTGCAAAGAATAACGAGCTGCCATAAATTTCGGTATTTAAAAGCAGAATTTAATGTCATAAAATACGCAAAATGAAAACATTAAAAAGTCAACTTTAAAATGGCGCCTGAACAATTTGTGAACTTTGTTTCAATCTTTCAGTTTTCGACTTTTTTCACGCACTTCTTCGTTCACCTGAAAATTCACGCACTTCTTCGTTCACCAGAAAATTCATCAGTTGTGACCTTGGTTTTTTCTCGCTATGAATTCTAGCGAGAACACATTTCATGTCACCAGTCTTGAACATCGATATTGTCGGGTCGCGGTTGACCCACACGTTTGTTTTCTCCACCTTCCGGATTTTTCGCCCGGCTTCTTTCAGCTCCTTTTTTAGTTGCGATTTAATGAACATCACTACCTAGTTCCCCTAGATATCCAAATACAATGATCGATTTTTTTTCGGCATTTTGACACAACCGAACGAATTTTTGCGCTGATAGTGAATATTTTCTAATTTCCTTGACTCGATGTTGCCATCCTTGACAGATGCTTCGTGAAGGGCTTATCGCCTCGTTCGAAGGGTAGCGCTATTCGGTACATCTCCTTCGTAGTTTTAGTGTACCGATACGAATCATTTTGTGCTTCCCGATTATTCATGTGCACTATGAAAACTTCCCTTAAGATTCCTGTCTCCCATGCTCTGAATTTGTATCTTGCCGCCAGTCCACTCAAACCCGAGTTAAATTGCTCTAGCGTTGTGGTGTTTTCGCGCTAACAGCTGGGAAGGTTTCGTACGTTTCATTCCTGTTCTTCTTGAACTCCGTTTTCATTGAGTCCAGGACCCTTGGATAGCTGGTATTTCCTAACCAAGATTGGGTTTTCGCTTGTGGAATTCATCTTTTTTGACCAGACATTGATAAAATTAAGAAATTAGCGTCTTCTGTGCCTCCAATCTGTTTTTCATCAATTTTCCCCGTCAGTCGGTCACTTTGGCCGTCGTTGTTAGCTTATACGCGTAGTACATTATATCTTTTTGGGTTGAGCCCGTGATTTGCCACCGTCCTCCATTGAAATCTGTTGATCAAACCAAAATACCCATAAAATTGGTGATTCTGCATATTTTGGTGGCCAAAACAACCTTATTCCAAGTGAATTTTTTCCCCATTTCGACCTAATGGTTGAGCCATATTAGGAAACGGCAAACAATACTGTACATTTCAGATGTATAGTATGTAACTTCAATGCATAAGGTTGATCGAAGACAATTGATTTAAAGTCAATCGAGAGTTTCAGACAGTTTGATTGAGAGTACGAGGTTGTTTGACAGAATGAAATGGAAGTACTGGTGAACTTTTTAATGAATTCTAGTCGATTGTCTTGTAATTTTTTAGATGCTGACTATAAAGTGACAAAATAATCGATTATGATTCATGGGACTTAAGAAGACCCTTTCGAACTAACGATATCAAGATTTACAAGTAGAAAAAAAATGTCGCTTAAAATGATTGAATCGTACCAAATTTAAAATTTTACCATTGCTATACCGCTTTACGCTGAGTGCTCTGATCATCAGCATCTCCCGTAAATTAAGGCAAAAAAGGGCCCCTTCTGCTGGTTGGAACCTCTTTTTAAACTCATTTACTGGAAAACTATGATCATCACCCAGAGGCACTCTAGAGCTGATCTTCTTTTCGCACAGGAAGACCTGTCCCGTTCCACATGTCGATCTTCGAGACGGTAAAGGCGATTAGGAAGACTAAAGGAGATACACGTGAGTAAACTACAAATTTTCAAATTTCTAAACTAGATATAACTTCTGTGGACTTGGATTGAACTATTTGTAGTTATAACTTAAATCTCCATAAATGAATTCAATCGTAGCCGCATAGCATATTTTCAAAAGTTTCAGATATAATGTAGATATTTTTTCATCATGATCTTTTTTAGATAAATTATTCTTGTATTGGCAAACTTTATGAAAAAAGTGCCTTGGCGAAAACTGAAAACAGTCTAAGTCGAATCTACAAAACAACAAAACTCTAATATATCTGAATGAAAATTTACATTCATTTTGTTTCAGCTGCCCAAATACTCACACTTATTTTGCTCGTGATATTTCTAACTTCGATGTTTTTCACTGGTAAGAGCCTCAATTTGCAAAAAAAACCCTATGAGGCAATCAAAACAAAGCTGGGTTTTCTTTTTCAGGGGCTCTAAAATTGAACGACTGTCCGGCTGAGCCGTTCATTCCGAAATGGCTTCTCGTAATGGGAATTTTTGGCCTTCTTAGACTTCTCGTTTCACAGGTTATTTTAAAACTAAACAAGACTACTCGTATCAGGGCGAAGCCCTGAATGTTCCGACTGCCTTTTAAGGTTTTATGGAGAAATTCTTAAAAATTAAATGTAAGAAAAAAAAAATTTTTTTTTCTAAAATTTGAAATTTTTTTATGAAAATTATCCCCCCACACGCCATACAATGTGTAAAAGGATAGATTTCGCTCCTAGTAACAAATCAATTATGGCAAATAAGCTTCTTTCAACCAATTTGGAACGATTTTAAGACGGATTAACTCTCCGCTCACGCGTTAACAGCGCGAAATATATCGCGCGTTAATTGTCCCAGATTGACCAAAATGGCAATCTTTAAACCCCCATAACTTTACAAAAAAAGATCACAGGTGAAATATTGTTTCAAATTTGAGCTCAGGACAACAATACCTTTCGAATGATATAAAAAAATTCCGTCAAAAATAGCTAGTTAAAAAGTCGAAATTTGTCCAAAGAAAAAAAAAACCCACCCCGAGCACAAATATTCCGTTACTTTCGTATCGAAAGTCGGAACAACAAATCTAAATTTACGCCATTATCTTTTTTGCTTCTCAAATAAGAGCAAAGCTAACCAAAATTAAACTGTGTTTTGTCTTCCAACATCGATTTTCAGCATGCAAAACAGTGTCAAACATTTAATTAACAAAAAAGTGACCTTTTTTTCTGCTTAGATTGCTCATTCATCATAACTTGACAACATACACTAAGCTGTCTACGCTGGTTCAAAATAGTTTTGTGTTATTGTTCCGACTTTCGATACGAAAATAACCGAATATTTGTGCTCGGGATGGTTTTTTTTTCTCCAGACAAACTTCGACTTTTTAACTAGCCATGTTTGACGGAACTTTTTGAAATCATTCGAAAGGTATTGTTGTGCTGAGCTCAAAATTGAAAAGATGTTTCACCTGTGATCATTTTTCGTAAAGTTACGGGTGTTTAAAAATTGCCATTTTGGCCAATTTGGGACAATTAACGCGCGATATATTCCGAGTTAATCCGAGTTAGAAATCGTTCGAAATTGGTTGAAAGAAGCTTATATGCCAAAATTGATTTGTTACCAGGAGTAAAATTTATCCTTTTGGACTTTATATGGCGTGTGGGGGGATGAGTTTCATGAAAAATTTCAAATAAAAAAAAATTTCATTTTGTTTTATTTCATTTAACTTTTGAATGTTATTACTGCTCCGTAAAATCTTAAAAGGCAGTCAGAACATTCAGGGCTTCGCCCTGATACGAGCAGTACTGTTTTGTGTTTAAATTTAAAAATATATTTCACATGTGATCATTTTTCGTAAAGTTACGGGGGTTTAAGGATTGCCATTTTGGCCAATTTGGGACAATTAACGCGCGGTATATTCCGAGTTAATCCGAGTTAGAAATCGTTCCAAATTGGTTGAAAGAAGCTTATATGCCAAAATTGATTTGTTACAAGGAGTAAAATCTATCCTTTTGGACTTTATATGGCGTGTGGGGGGATGAATTTCATGAACAATTTCAAATAAAAAAAATTTCATTTTGTTTTATTTCATTTAACTTTTGAATGTTAATACTGCTCCATAAACCTTAAAAGGCAGTCGGAACATTCAGGGCTTTGCCCTGATACGAGTAGTCTTGTTTCATTTTAGAAACTAATGCTCAAAATAGTGTCATTGAAGCTCATAGAAAGAAAAAACAAACCATTGGTGTTGTAGATAATCTTGCGTTATTCTCAATTTGACATGTAAACGACAATAATTCTGTTTTCTGTCCACCTATTTTTACTTTCTTCGAAGAATAATAATTGAATGGGAGCTGCTGCTAGGTCAAATTCGTGAATCTCAAGGTCACTGGTCATTTCATTAATGCTGACACCAGGAAAAAAGACCAAAAAAACCAGCATAGAAACTGCTTTTGTTCGCAAATTACCAGTTTTCGTCTGGTAAAAGTTCAGTTGATAGACTTTTTCTCCAGATTTTTGTGAAAAATCAGATTTTTCAACTGGAGTTTATATTGACTGTTCGGCAGGTGTGCAACCGAATGGTTGACGATGATGAGGAGAATTGTTGCCAGGGCGCTTGTGAGTGCATGCTGGAAGTGTTCTTGTTCGCATGGTTTGTTGCAGGTACTAAAAATTTACTCTGAAAATTGGTAGCCAAAAGGCACCCTACGTATCCAAAAAATACTCCAGTTTAGGTATTCAAAAAGTATCATAGGTTTCCCGAAAATTGCTACTTAAATAGGCAGTGGCGTGCGCAGAAATTTTTTTAGGGGGCGGTTTTTCGAGTTTGTTAGGTTGACCAGTTTGATGTGTCCGAGCTCTTCGAAAATACTATAAGGACCGTATTTTGCGCCACAGGCAGATTTTCGAAAAAAAATGGAAACATTTGTTTCAAGCTTTTTTTACAAAAAATGACCAAAAAATGCGTTTTTTTCGGTGTGCTCTCACCCCTCAATTTTTTTTATATTGGCCTCAAAGGCGCCCTTAGAAAAATTTTGACGTTGGCCAGCCAAAAATGATTCTCGTAAAATTATACCAAAAAGGGGACCCTTTAGAAACATTTGGCTGACAAAATTGAGAGGGGATGAGGACAGACACCCACCCCAGCCCCCCTTCTTCGGCATGCTTATGAAAATAGGTGTCATAGAGTCTCGTAGGTATTCAAAATCACTCGCAGTTCTTATCCAACAGAAATCTTTTAGCAATTGCATTTTTTCGTGGCTACTCTAATAGGTTTTATGTAAAATTAATGAGCAATCAAGGAAACACCAGAAAATATCACTTTAGAATTAGAAAAATTGTTTGTTTTTTTTGAAAAAAAAATTGGAAGTGACAGATGATTGCATTTGAAAATGATCGCTTAGACTAGACAATATCCATTTTTGGTTTTATCTTCTGAAACAATGACCGTTGCACACTATGTGGTCTTGAATCTAATTTCTACATGCTTGCAACTCCCTCTTATGCATGTAGTCAAATTGAGTGTTTCAATTTTTTCTATTTTTGCTTCAGGCAGCGTTTGGGTGTTTCGAACCTATGGCGATGTGTCATACACCAAAGATTCTGAGAACTACTGTGAAAGACCTCTCTTCCGATTTTCATTCGTGATTCAACTGGGCACTTATATCTTAATGGGATCATCACTGTGTTGCTGTTGTATGTTTGGTTGCATGGCTGCTATTATGGATGACTAATTCATACGAAGTCGAATGCCATAAATTATGATTTATATAAGTAATTTTCAAAGTCGGTTGTAAATCTCATCTGAAAGTAATTTGACACCTAAATATTTATCGCAAAGATTTTAAACGGTATCAAAAAGTATATAAAACGAATAATTGAACAGCAAAACTATCTTTTCTTTCTGGTAATTGGAAAATAGAAGAGCCAGCATATCCACAAGCTCCAACTTAGAAACAACAAGACTGCTCGTATCAAAGAAAACCCCAAAAATTTCCTACTTCAAGTTATTTTTTGAGCCAAAATGTCGTCCAGCTATATTTGTGGAGACATTGGAGTTGGAATTGCCAAAAATCATCAACAATCAATCGCGCTTTCACTTAGCTATTGTTTTAGAGTGTTTTCAATGTAGTTGCTGTCTTTTTTTTCCTTTGCAATCCACTTGAAATGCTTTCTGTAAAGAACTGGTTAATCATACCAAATTGCATTCCCTGTGCAATGTCAATGATGGGATTATTTTTTGATCATTAATTACAAAAAACTCAATTTCTGATTTAGTATTGTAGTCACCACGCAGAATCAAGGATTCTTTTTCCTGGTTTTGATTAACCAAAAACAAAAACTTGTTAATATTCTTATTGAATCAGCTCTATTGCTGCTCGATTTTCTTAAAAAGATCAAACTGAACCTTATCAAATTTTTATGATACTAACAAGACTGCTCATATCAGGGAAAAGCCCTGAATGTTCCGACTGCCTTTTAAGGTTTATCGAGCAGTAATAACATTAAAACATTAAATGAAATGAAACAAAATGAAAAAAAAAATTTCAAAAATTTGAATTTTTTCATGAAAATTATCCACCCACACGCCATATAAAGTTATAGATTTTGCTCATTGTAACAAAACAATTATGGCAAATAAGCTTCTATCAACCAATTTGGAACGATTTCTAAGACAGATTAACTCTCCGCTTACGCGTTAATAGCGCGAAATATATCGCGCGTTAATTGTCCCAAATTGACCAAAATGGCAATCTTTGAACCCTGATAACTTTACGAAAAATGATCACAGGTGAAATATCTATTCAAAGTTTAAGCTCAAAACAACAATACCTTTTGACTGATATAAAAAAGTTCTGTCAAAAATGGCTACTAAAAAAGTCGAAATTTGTCTGAAGAAAAAAAACCCACCCCGAAAGTCCGAACAATAAGACTTCTGAGAATAGCGAGCTTACAACTATGACAATTTTTCAATTGTTTACCTTTTTTCAATGATTAAAAAAAGGGAAAACCAAATAGAATCGAATCTTGGAGAAGAGTTGTTTCAAGTTTTGCTGCAAGATATACATTCCTCTTCTCTTTTAGCTTTTTAACTTGCATGTCTTAATTTGACTGATCGAAAGTTTCTTTTTACTGCTGTAAATCGAACATCAACTACGTTCCACTTTTTTGTGCCAATTAATAGTTTAGTAAATGTTCTGTCTTCTGTCCCATTTTGCACATTGATCAAATTGGTGGAGACTGTAGGCCAAAAAATATATTCAAAAATGGAAGGGGCGTAAATATTAAGATTCAGATTAATACCATTTATCCACGGGGGAAAGGACCAACACAAGAACTGTACAGCTCATCACGGCCAACCGCTGTTGTGCCCCTGTTTAAGAACTACATGCAATTTTTTTTGGTTATTTTTCTGGGCTGGCTAATGTTGCTTCACCCTTAAGCAACGAGCACGGATCATGGTGGGCCTCGAACATCCGACATTTCGATAGAGAAGCGGAGACGTAACCACTTCACCACCGCTTCATATTGTTAATTTTTTGGTAGTTTGTCTGGGAAACATTGCCCCAGTACTATGACGGTCTTCTGAAGGCTTCTGAGGGCTTTTTTTCTGGTTACTTCACCTCCGTACTCCACCGCGCACTGTCACGATCTGTCTGCGCTCGTGTAGTGCGCCCAAGAATTAAAGGTAATACTATTGATTAAGCAAAACTGAAATGAAAGAAAACCTTTTGAGTTGTGCTCACAAACAGTTAATCATAATTTATAGTTTCGATAATTATTTTCTCTGTAATTGGACCAGTAAAGTCAAGTGGTTTAAGCAAAGTGTAACAAGAATGCTCGTATCAGGGCCAAGCCCTGAATGTTCCGACCGCCATTTAAAGTTTATGGAGTAGTAATATCATTAAAAAAATTAATGAAATAAAACTAAATGGACACTTTTTTTTTCTAAAATTTGAAATTTTTTAATAAAATCATCCCCCGACACGCCATACAAAGTTTAAAAGAATGGATTTTGCTCATTGTAACAAATCAATTATGGCAAATAACCTTCTTTCAACCAATTTCTAACGATTTCAATTGGAACGATTTTTAAGACGGATTAAATCTCCGCTTACGCGTTAATAGCGCGAATTATATCGCGCGTTAATTGTCCCAAATTGACCAAAATGGCAACCTTTAAACCCCCATAACTTTACGAAAATGAATCACAGGTGAAATATCTTTTCAAATTTAAGCTCAGGAGAACAAAACCAATTGAATGATATATAAAATTTTTGTCAAAAATGGCTAGTTAAAAAGTCGAAATTTGTCTGAAGGAAAAAAAACCCACCCCGAGCACAAATATTCCGTCACTTTCGTATCGAAAGTCGGAACAACAACCCTGGTTGTTGATGGCTCTTCTTATTGACCTTGTACTGATTTTGTCTACACCCCGTCTCAGTTTTCATTTTTTGTTTGAAAGTTTGTTGATCAGAATCATTCATTAATTTCGTTATTTAAAATAGCGATAAGATGAAGTCTGATTTGTCTATATTTAGCCTAGTTTGAACTCGACTAGATGCAAGTCATACCTAATGCAGTAATTATGTCTAATTATACAAGACGTAGGAAGGTTGCAAATCAAAGGAAATGTCGCAACTATTACCATATATGGTGTCAAACTTAAAGGTTAAAGAAAAAATTTGGCAATGAAGGTTTATTTTTAGATTTAATATTGATTTTCCTTCACGGAGCACATAAGATAGTTCAAATTAAAGATTGCATTTTCAGCATTCACATGGCTGTTTATCAGACTTTCTTCGTTCCTAACCCAGGTCCAGTCGTGTTGAAAATCTTGCCAAGATTTTGAAGATTCTTGAAAATTTATCAAAGATAGCAATGAAACTTTAAAATAAATCCGGCTTTTTCCAAGGTACCTGAATGTCTGTCCAAACTACATCTATACAACCTGACAAACATGTACAATATCCAGCAGCTCAACCTAGGAATTTGACTTTTTGTGCAATCTTGAAAATATCTTCAAGATTCTTTAAGATTTTTCGAACACTCTTCAAGATCTTTAAAGATATCCAAGAAAAGTTTTTTTTCTAAAACGATTCACCGCAAATTAATGAAGATTCACTTAGTCAAGCTTCTCCGAAACACCATCACATTAGCAAAACAAGGCAATTTTCAGAGAAAAAAAATTTAAGAATCATATTAAGAAGACCTTTTTGGTGTAAAACGAATCGTCAATTGTTCCATCTATTTTGATTCTGATGTTGGACTTTTATCACAAAGTTAGCAAGACAATATGGGTTATTGCGAAGGAAAAATGACAAATTTAAGAGTCTACAATGTTTTTATTGACTGTCCTAAGTATCCATTGAGCTGGAAATTATCAATATTTTCGAATATTTTCCCTTTTTTTAAACTTTTTTTATCGTGAAGTTTTGAAATTTTTGCAATATTTTCTAGACGAAAAACTGATGATTGCAAGTTCAACAATTCAATTCATCTGGTGAAACAAGCAACTTTATCCCGTTTGCCTAAAAATGCTTCAAAACTGATAATCATCAGAAAGTTTTGAGTTTTTTTCTCTGATTTTTATTCTGGCGATTCTTAGTTATGCGCAAAATTTCCTTGGTTGTTTAGAATTTTATCGTATAATTTCTTGTTATCATTTCATTTGATTTTGTTATAGTTTTTGTTAGTCTATTTTTCAAATGTTCTATCGTGAGTTCAAAGACCGAGACTTCTGGAGAGTTTCTATTTTTTTTTTCAGAAAATTTTATTTCAATCTTCAATAATAAGGCCAAAAATTTAGTTGAAATCTTGGATGCCAATCTTCACCCATCTCTGCTATCTTTGTTTTTCTTGAAGATTCTTTGAGTTTTCTCGAAAAATACCTGATATCTTCCAAGAGTCTTTGGCAAGAACTTGGCGAGAACATTCTTTGGCAAAAAAAACCTAAGAAATCAATAAAAGGCTGTCATATTAATCCTGATTTGGGTATCCATCAAAAAAGTAGTTCCATTTTTAGTTTGCTTCAAGTTTTTTATACTTTGTTATCTTAAGTGAATCATTGCGAAATAGAGGAAAACTTTCAATCAAAAATTGGATAATTGCCTGAGAAACATGGTAAACACGTAAAAAAGTTTTATAAGTGTCATGAAATTATCTTAGAGTACGTTGAAAGCCAAAGTCGATCCTCAAAAACTGACAATAATTTTGCGAAATGCCAGAGCTTTATAGAAAGGGCAGTGGAGATAAATCAGGAACAGATTACGGTAGCCGGTAAAAGTGAGGACCCCGATAAGTTAATACCTGCACAGGATATATGGATCCATAAGTTGACTCACACACACGATAAGACTTTGCAGGAAGTTAAATCCAACGAGGAAAAGCTTGGATCCCGCAGATGATGTATCACACAGCAAATCTAAGTTGTCAGAGCAACGCAGACGACATCCAAAATTTAGTCGATATAAGGCCGCTCAGTCAAAAACTCCGAGTGAAAAAAGGGATTTGCTGATCATAAAGAAAAAGCAGCAACATTTAGAGACAAAGGTCAAAGTTTCAACAAAGTTTAAAGAACAGCAGAATACAATGAAAATTGACTACTTAGAACAGCAAAGTAATGTAATCTAGAGTTTGAGGAGTTGACTGAAAAAACATAGGACGAAATCGGCAGATTTAGGGTTGAAAGGTTTTTTGATAGAGGAGAAGCTGTCGATTATGAGTGAGAAAATAAGCAATTGAGTTTAACGCAAGTCAACCCGCTATCTAATGTCACAGATCAACACCGGGACTGGAATGAAACTGTTGCTGAAACAATTGGATCCTTCTGCAAATTCGAGTCAAGCGTTTTTTAAGAGTGTTTTTTTCTCAGCT